TTCAAGCGAAATATCCTCCTCTTCCCTGAGCGATGCAAGTTTGAATCCGACCGAAGGGCGCAAATTTTTCTTTAATAAGATTTCTCGGATATTCATTCGGTAGGGGAAAATAAATAGATATGTTTAATAAATAAACGGGTCGTCTCCCCAAATACGAGTATGTACTAAAAATAATATTTAAAGGGATAAAATCATTATTATGGGAAACATAATTTTTATGGGCAACAATTGTAGTTATAAACGTACGACAAAGCATATGCGCAGATATAGAGAAATATATAGCGAGATGTGCATTCGGATAGGAATTTAACTGTAAATAACGTATATATGCGGACACATAAAGAAATAATGTAAATTGCTCAGCCACTCATATCCAAGGATGCCGGTCTACTAGGACATTGCAGACGCCTGCTCAGGCACATCTGCGCTTGCTCAACACCCACAGAGCCCACCTTAGGTTTATTCTGCAACTATACTAAGCGTACCTTCGTTCCATTTTCTGGGAGAGAGCGCATTATCTAGCGTTATTAACAGTCTGAACGAGGCTAACACACTCAAACCCTCGGTCACGATGACTTGTGACTTCGTGCTAGTGCAACCACCAACGCCACCCACCACAGGGTGCCTTCTAGCCAGTTTTAATCACAAGTCTTAGGTTAACCCTGTGGTATGATTTTCAGGCACTTTTCAAAGACCATGGTGAGATTCGAACATGGGACTGGTGGTCAGAAAAAGCGAATGTTCTAACCACTTGGCCACATAATTGATTTTTTATTTAGTAATTTGACAGATTTTATTTTTTCATTTTAAACGTCATTTTTAGTGGAGAATCATATTTGAGTAGACGATCTATTTCTTTATGAAACACAAGCAGCATGGCCCGGCGTTGCCCTTGCTTGATTCAAAAATCGTACGTCTCATGCAGCAACGCTATCACATGATATTTTTGCCCTTCCTTGCCTTTAAAGGAGTGCCTTTTGCCGTGCTGATGTTGCTACATGACTTACTTCTTCTTGCCTATCTTACACTGCGAATTTATTCTAAGCTCTATACTAAACATTAAATCTATTACGAAAAAAGAACTAAACAAAATGAACACAAAACGATCAGCTTTAAAAAAGAACTCGTAACTGGAAAAACCGAATGAAAAAAGAATGTTAACAACAAATACTTATTCACAATCAACCCAGTTCTGCGGAATCAGAATCAACGTTGAGTTTAAGCAAGCGAATGAGCCAATTGGAGTAAAGTGTTATGCAGATTTAAATTTTTCCCACTTGTGACGAATGCAGCTATCGATTTTTTTTTTTGCATGCTAGTTAACATTTGTGTCAGTCAGCTGTTGGCTCTCACTCTGGACAGTAGAAAATGGCTGAAAACTACATGAAAACTGCCGTAGAAGCATGAAATAATCGATTATTTCCACTATCGATGGGAGTTGCGAAATGCAAAGTCGGTTTTGGCCTTCCCGCTAACTTAAAGCATGTGCATATAAATTTTGGTGCAAATCCGTCGAAAATTGCGGCTGTGCATTTCTTTACACACACACACACACACACACACACACACACACACACACACACACACATCCTGCCTTTTATAGATAGAGATTATATTTCTTTCTTTTCGGTTACCACAGTTTTTTTTTTTTTTTTTTTTTTCATAAAATTTCTCGAATAATCAGGCCTGTGTTGTGGTATAAATAAACGAATCGCCTATTCAAATATGATTATCCACTATAAATAACCAATCACCCAAACTAAGTGCTCTAATGCAGTGATCGTAAATCATACTAAATGATATTGACTAGTAATTTACACTACGTGGTACTAACTGATAAGGCATACTGTTACTGATCATCGTAAATTATATTTAATGATTATAAGTTATACTAAGCTAATCGTAGCAATTAAAGTTTAATTTCTGTAAATTTGCTTCGTTATCCATTTTCGTTTGTATAGCAAGTTCATTTATCACGAGTACCGCCATTTTGCATCACAGGAACAAACCGATTTTGCTATTTAATGTCTCTAGCTAATGAAGAGTAAACCAGTTGACCGTTTCCAATATATGTTTTTGTTTCACTAACTGGCGTAGCGTTGTGCCATATTAAATACTACTTTTGTTAAATGTGAAATGAAATTTATTCTCACTAAGTGCTCTATTATTTGGGTCATGTGCCAAAAATTATTTGGCTGAATAAAAGGATTGAACATCTGCAAAAGAAACATGCTTTCTTTGCTTGTTTCGCTAGCTATTTGCAAGAATCGTACATTCGATCATAATTTTAGTACACTAAATCGAACTAATCTACAAAGGTAAATCAAAAATTATCAGCTCTTTCACCATAACATATCTTTAAGTTTATCACTCTACTTTCTGCTCAGGCGTTTCTACAATTGTAGTCACGTGATAGAAGATAGATCTTGATTTCGCCAGTTTTCTTGCTGCTGTTACAATGTAAACATGGCCGATCCACTAGTAGTGTTCACCGAGGTGGGGCAGAGCAGTGATCGGGATCTGCAGAGAACATGCTACAATCATCGATGACAAATCGCTGATTCACCATTAGCATCTCTCGATGGTGGTTGAGGTTGACGGGCGTCCAGCTGCTTCTTCGTGTCTTACGCTTGTCCGGACACTTTTAAACGACTCGATACATTTCTACAACGCTAGTACACTGTCGTCGTTTTGGGTCAAAAGCCCCTGATGCATCTTTCGACCAGAAAAATCGGATCACTGCTGTTTGTTCCTCCTTGGTGCACACTGCTAGCGGAGTGGCCATGTTTACACTGTAATAGCAGCAAGAAAACTGGCGCGATACAGCTCTATATACGATTTTATGACCGTTTGCTTCTAGATGGTACAACTATAAGCAACCTTGAGCGGAAGGTAGTATAATAAACCTAAAGATATGTTATTGCGAAAATGCCAATGATTTTTAACTTAGCCTCGTAATTATATTTTTTACTCACGTATATATTTAAATTCTGAAGCTAGTTGCAGCGGAAGGGATTATTTGTTTGTCAATACATGATATCAAAGGTGTTTATTTTTATTTGTACCCACTCAAGATATAGAAATTAGCGCACGGACGCTTCTTATTTATAAAGCAGGATTAATTTATAGACTGAAGATTTCAGTTTTCTTTTTCGTATAAACCGAGTAAATGGCACTGTTAATTCGTTTTTCATTTCTTCTCCAGCATCTTTGAAAAAGTGTCTAAAGCATATTAACACGCACAAATCCCTACTGAGAAAAGCAAAGCAAATTCTTTTCCTGACTCTCACGGTATATGAAGAAATGATTTTTATTTCCATTTACTAAAATGATCCTGAAAACTCAATTATTGTTCTTAACACTTGCGAAGTTCTATGAGCCGTTCTCCAAACCTGATGTCAAATAATGATTACCTTACAGATGTAAACTGGGATATTGTTTTTCCTATAGCTGAGGGTTCGATTCACACCTGATTTAATAGCACTTGTGTGAATCCATATTTGTCTAAAGCGACATTTTAAGTCTCAGTGACAATTCCAATCTCAGTGTCCAGTTATTCATCCAACACCTCCGTTTATATCTCATCCTGAAAATTTACACTTAAATAAAATGTATTCCACGTGTAATAATATGTATTCCACATATACTAAAATGTATTCCACATGTAATAAAATATATTCCACATGTAGTAAAATGTATTCCACATGTAATAAAATGTTTTCCACATTTAGTAAAATGTATTCCACATATAATAAAATGTATTCCTCGTGCTAATAAAATGTATTCCGCATGTAATAAAATGTATTCCACATATAATAAAATGTATTCTACATGTAGTGAAATGTATTCAACATGTAATAAAATGTATTCCATATGTAATAAAATGTATTCCGCATGTAATAAAATATATTCCACATGTAGTAAAATATATTCCACATGTAATGAAATGTATTCCACATACTAATAACATGTATTCCACATGTAAAAAAATGTATTCCACATGTCTATAAAATATAGAGAATAAATCAATAACCTAATGCAGAGGAATAATTTTAGTAAAGTTATTTCTATTTCAACACAATCTCTTCTATTGTCAATGCTCTTAATCCAATTAATTAGAGAGATCAAACATGATACAATGGAAATTCCAGGTCAAATTTAAGTTATACATAGAGTGTATAGAATATCACGCACAAACATAAACACACAAATGCTAACACCCATAAATTTACATTCAAGCAAATACTTGAGTGCAGACAGAAAAACACGTACATACACAAATACACATTACACACACGCACAGACACACAGAGGCAAAGATGCAGTCAAACATGCAAATACGAATACATACAAAGCTGCACAAAAACAGACCTGCACACGACACATACGCTAAATCATACAAAACAAAGACATCCACAAACATACAGAAGCACGCACACTCTGGCAGACTCTCAAATCCCACAAAAATGCACGTGCAAACACATATGCACTAATCAACAATAGAATTAACCCACACAAACACGGGTACACCTAGATTTACACACACACATAACAAGTGACGCAAACGCAAACAGTTAAAAAGACAAATATGAAAAAATGGCCGCTCTTTTTTCAAGCAATAGATTTTCGTTCCAACATCAGAATTCATAAGATATGTTGTTATGCAAATCAAATTTTGCTGGCCTTTGCCGTTGACATATTCGATATTTATTTATTGATTAATTGACTGTTTCGTTTTCTATGGCTTATCATCCCACTGCAGGTTATTCAAAACCCAAAAATATTTCAAACTATACGAATTTTGAGGAAGATGATAATGATTTAGTGATACAAGTATTAGAAATTAACCCAAATTAACTAGGAGAGAAGAGGTGGATTTATACCTTTTCCAAGAGTATTTGCGCGTAGGCGAATATAACACGTCTAACTGCAATTGGAACTCGACTCTCTGATAAACAATTGCGAGCCATTATCCATTACACCAACACAGACATCAAAAGCTTACAGCACCTAGTCTTCCCATGTGGTCACCCATCTAGATACTGAGCAGCTTAGACGCTGCTTAACTTCGTTGATCGCACGGGACCAGATATTTCAATGTGATATGGCTGCAAGCAACGATAACTGATTTCATCACGGCAACTGGTTAATATCTTTTTTTCTGTGTTGATTCGGTAGGAGTGCTTGTAATTCTTTGTTTCTTTTTTAGCGTTGATGTTCAAGGTTAACGAATATTGCAAGCAGTTCTTTTTGGCCGAACAGATTTTCACAAATGCGCGTCATTCAGGGTCTTTGAAAGACTATGTGGAGAAAAGAACAGACGCGAACTCGAATCCCGTGCGCATATGTCTGTCGAAGCTAGTTAGTCACATACAGGTTTTCCACGTTAATAGCAGAACATCTTGGCATGTCCAGATACGGTCCTCTTTGCAACTTGTCCAGATATAGGTCTTCATCAACTGTCTCCTGTAAATAAAATCGACGGGAAAACCAGCAGTTGGCTTTTGACGAGACTCGCTTTGCTATTGTCAGAGATTCGGTATCTTAAGACATTCCCTCACTCGTCATTACTAAGACTTTTTATTTATTTATTTCTTCTTGTCACTTTCCCTTCACAGCTCCCTCTCTCAACAAGGCGTTTTTTCCCTTTTCCTCGGGTAGGACTTGGGACCCTTCAAATCCCAATGAATCTTCCTTTATGAGCGATACAAAAATATGAATAATACTAGGGCGTCCGCTGCATGTGTATCTGACGCCCCGGTCTTCTGGTCGGCGGAACCGGTGAGAAATCAGCAAGCCACCACAGTCCTTGCAAGAAGAGATGTGATGAAGATTGCTGGCTGGAATGCCCGCACTCTTCGCGAGGAAGGAACGCAGTCTCTCACCGTCAGGACTCTGTACAAGTATGGTGTTTGTGTCGCCTGTCTGTCAGAGGTCCGCCTCCCCATTAGCGGGCATAGAATAATGAAGGTGCCATAGTCTGACTGCGTCTACCACCTTTACCATAGTGAAGTGGAGGACAACAGCGAGCTGTATGGAGTGGCGATTGCTCTCAGCCCAGTAGCACGGGCAGCACTACTCGCTTAGAAACCAGTCTTCCACAGGCTGGCCATGGTCCGTCTCAAAAGCGCTGTTATAAACGTCACCGTCATCTCCGTCTACGCACCGACACTGAATGCAGCGGAGGAGGACAAGGACATCTTTTACCGCGACCTACAAGCGGTTGTACATCGTAGCCCTTCCACTCATCTTCAAGTGGTGGCAGGGAATTGGAACGCTCGCACAGGACCGGCGGATGAAGACACCAGACATGTTCTAGGTCGATTCGCCCTCGGAACACGGTGTGACAATGGCGACCCCCTAGTCAAGTTTGCTGTCGCTAATCGTATTGTGATGACTAACACTCGTTTCCAGCACCTGCGACGACACCTCGTCACATGGCGCTCCAATGACGGTCGTACATCCAACCAGATTGACTACATTCTGGTACGGGCGAGATGGGTAAGCTCTGTACTTGACTCTCGAGCCTATTGGGTTGCAGATACGGGCAGTGCGCATGGATCAGATCATACACTTGTCCGCGCAAGCCTCCGTCTGCGACTGCGGGCAAGGATATCCACCAAGATCCTGAAGCGAATGAACGTCGCCAATCTGAAGCTGCGCGCGGGAGAACAGTTCGGGTTGGAACTTCGCAATTGGTTCTCTCTCCTCAAACCAAGCTCAGAGCCTCAACCAGAAATTGAATAGCAGGCTCTCAAATCTGCCACCGTCGAAGCGGCACACGCCCATCTTGGTTTCACCCGTCACCGATATCGGGATTGGATCACCAGGGAGAGCCTTCGGCTGGTGGAGGAGGCGAAGGTAGCGCGACTGACAGGAGCTGCGAACTTTCGCGATCTACGGCGCCGCGCAACTCATCCGCGCTGACCGAAAATGCAGCAGCCTGTGGCGACTCTCGCAAACTCTACCAGATGGTGAGGCGGACGAGTTGCGGAACTACGGGAGTGAGTGAGACTCTTCGCTCCCGTGATGGTGCTATTATTGCAGGTCTGGGCGAGTGGCTAAATCGTTGGAATCAACATTTTAACGAGCTACTCAATCATGCGATTCCGGCGGCGGAAGTGGCTGTTGAACCGACCGATGAATACGACTGCAACACTGCACCTCCAACGGTAGATGAAGTGTGAGATATTCTGCGCCATCTGCGTAACAACAAGGTTCCTGGTGAGGATGGTATACCTGCCGAAGTATATAAAGCCGTGCCAGATGTATTCGCCTCGTGGGTGCATCGTGTCTTTAATGCGGTCTGGCTCTCTGAGGCCTACCCTGCCGATTGGAGCGAGGCCATCCTTCTACCTTTTTTATCGGAAAGGGTGATAGGAGACTCTGCTCGAACTACAGAGGAATCAGCCTCATCGACGTGGTGGCCAAAGTATTTGCAGTGCTTCTCCTGCGAAGATTTCAAGGAATCCGTGATCTGCGAACTCGCCCGTCTCAGGGTGGTTTCCGCCTGGACAGAGTCTGTGTTGATCAGATCTTCAGCCTGCGGCGCATCCTCGAACAACGCTGCTTCGTCGACTTTAGGGCTGCTTTCGACTCCGTTGATAGAGGCTCACTCTGGCGTATCATGGAGGTCGATGGCATGCCCGCCAAACTCCTTCGTCTCATCAAGGGCTACAACCTGTCGACGCGAGCCCGTGTTCGTGCTTATGTTGAGGAGTCGGAGACATTAGAGGTGAAGACTGATGTGCGGCAAGGCTGTGCCCTATCTCCTACTCTATTCAGCTATACAATCGACTACATCCTCAGCAAGGCCCTTCGGGACAACGCTGGAGTTGCGGTTGGTCGGAATGTCAGGGTGTCTGATCTGGCCTACGCGGCCGACATTGTCTTGGTCGGATCGAACTGTGACTATGTGCAAGCTGCGCTCAACCGTGTGCAAGCTGCAGAACGGGATGTGGGTATGACCATCAATGCCTCGAAGACCAAAGTTATGCCGTCGCTGGTTGATCCAGTCAACTGGCAGCCACTAACGCTGGACGGGGTCAATCTGGAGGACGTGCAGTCTTTTGTCTATCTCGGTTCAACCATTATAACATCCAGACAGGCTGCTGCTGAGGTTGAACGCCGTATAGGAGCTGCAAGGTCCGCATTCGTGCGTCTCACGCGATCACTATGGGGGCGACGGGAGATTTCCACGGCTATGAAGGGGCGCATCTATCAGGCTATTGTTCGGTCTATCGTTCTCTATGGCTGCGAAACGTGGCCACTTAGAGCGGTTGACCTACGGAGGCTTGAAGTGTTCGACAACGATTGACTTCGCTGCATAGCTACGATGCCGCCGAATCTATCATGTGTCCACAGCCACTCTACGTCGTCGCCTGAGTGTCCGTCCTCTTCCACCCGTCCTGCTCCAGCGTTGTCTCCGATGGTTCGGACACGCAGCTCGTCGCCCAGAGGGAGAGCTCATTCGCGATGTACTTCTCCCTCCTTCTCTTCCTGGCTGGCGAAAACGCGTCGGTGGACAGCTGAGGACGTGGGGCTAGCACAATCAAGGATGACCTAGCAGTACTATCAGGTCCACAAGTAGTTAGTCTTCGACGATGGAATCACGATTGGCTCGCCATTTCGTGTGACCTGGCTCAGGATCGGCGAGCGCGGGCAGCGATGTACGTGATGCTGTACTTGCTCGGGGGGAAGCCGGTTCAATCCGACCAAGGGGAAAACCGATATAAGTCAAGTCCCCCTCTTAATTGTTAAGAGAATAATCTGTTAAGTGTTTCCTACAGCCTCAGCACACCCATGCCTTATTTTCATACCGAACAAATCCTCAAATTCCTTTCGACATCATAAGCGAAAAAGTGGACTTTAATGAAAGATTTTTGCTTTTCTGCCATTTCTGCCTTTGTATGAAACTGGGTAATGTTTTATGCTCATTTATATCTCAATTAACCTCACTACAGTATTGGTGTTTAATTAGGAGAATTTTCTAATCAGAAATTAGATGTGGCATCAAGACCGAATGTATGGGGCACCCAATCAAGATTGAGACAAGCTTGCTAATCATTACACCACACTGAAGTGCACTAAATGATTTTCTAAGCGTTGTTTAGTTATGGAACAAGACCAAAAATATGAAGCACCCAGTAAGAATCTAAACCACTATACAGTCGTAATTTATCTCGCAAGACAAGCTTCCTAACCATTCCACCACTTCGAATGGTCCTAATGGCATCTAATTATGTCTTTGTATAAAATATCCGCACGCATACACTTTCGAACCCAGACACGCATAATTACACACAACACACACGCAAATCGTATAACTATTAAATTTAAAAGAAAAACATATTTACTTTTTACTGGTATTTATTGCCGTCTACGAATTCTTTTTTTTTCTATGAACCGTGTCTCTTCAAGGCGTAAGCGTTCATGCCTCAACAATTTCTCGACAATTTCATGTCCTTTGTTGCTCTTAGTAAATCTTTTTCTTTTTGCTATATCTCCAAATCCCTGTTCTGCCAAAAATTTACACAAGCTCATTAGGTAGATTATGCACCATTTTCCTCTGTTTCCCTTGTCTTCAATCAACCTTGTGAGTGTCAAATTCTACTAGCCCACTTTCCTTATTATGTACCCAAGAAATTTCAACTATCTCTTTCTGCTGCTTGGTGGCCATTTTCTTACATGTTAAATCTGCATTATTCTCAGCATCCTACTGTAAAAACACATTCCTCATCTAAAATGAGATTACCCAACATTTCCTGTCATGCATAAAAACCGATATTATGTGTCATTTCGGCATCTTTTCTTTGTTCCTAATGAATTTTTCCTGTCTCTTAATATTTTCCTTAGTTTCTGGAAAGCATCTTTCGCTCTTCCAATTCGTCTTCGGATTTTGGTGTCACTTTTTCCGTCGTCCGTTAAAATATTTTCAAGATATTAACATTTTTGCACTTGCTTGATTTTGATATATTCCTTTTGCGGGCTTCCATACATTCTGTCTTCTTACAATTGATGCTTCGTCCTTTCTTCCCGCTTTCCTTTACTCACTTCTGTAGTTCTTTTCTGCATCTGCTATGAAAACTCTGTCAGCTGCATATTTCATGTTGCTAAGACCGTGGCCGACACAAATGAATCCTAGTAGGAATTCTAATTCCTTCACTCTAAAGGTTGAATACGCCTAGTGAGAAGATGTATCCTTGTCTTTAGATTTTTGTATATTTACTGATTTTATTTTCTGTTCGCAAGCATGCAGTTTTTTTCCAGTTAATTTTTTGGATAATTCTAATATCATTTCCATTTAAATCAGGTTTAGCGAGAAGTTCCGACATTTCTGTTTAATCACAGCTTTTAACCAGGCTTTCGATCTATGACAGGATAGGAAGAAATGGTTAATTCTCCCCGAGAGTGGAACTTAAATCCGTTTTGTTCAGGACATCCTACTTGAACGCATCAGCTGCTTCAGCCGATAAGCTTGAAGAATATGATGGCATTTCAAGCGATAAAATCGAAATTGCAAATCCGCCATTTCATTCCATGTTCTTCAGCAGCGGAATATTTGTTTTGAAGATAGTGGCATTTGTAGCAGAAGTATTATGTTACATAAAAAAAATATTTTTTGACTAACATTTTGACTTCTGACATTTTCTACATTTACAGACCAAAAATAAAGTATTAAGTTGAAATCTGGAGCTACACAATATTCTCTTCCCAGGTTTGGGAGAGTACAAAGGCGATGAACAATTTTCCACCCTACAACAGCTTTACTACAGATAAAATATAGCATCTCTATTGCTATTTCCATAAAAAATATCCTCACGTGCTAATTTCTTTAGTTCCACCAATCCTTTAAAACCGAGACATGACATAGCTATAGACTCGAAGAAAATCTAATTTCCTTCGTATTCCATTGGTAAGGAGGAAGTTTTAATCTTTGTAGAACAGACTGCCGAGGGGAAGCTTTCCCGATCACTACAAACTTAACCTCTTCAAGTCTATGGTCAATCATTATATATTCGCACGCAACCACAAATCCGGCAAACCCCTTGTGCCGTAGGAGCATAAATACATAATGCTGCCATAGCATGAGTGTTTTCTTTCCTGAGCAAGATAGCCTGACAGTGCCTAACCATATCTAGGTTGGTTTGAATTCAGAGTTTTCGTTCTCCTAGACTGTTTGCCAACCAAGGCTATAGGGCCCAATATGTCCTGCTATTTACCCATACTTGGTGTGAGAATATATAACTTTCCCAAGGATATTTGCACGCTAGTGAATGTAATGACCTCGACTGAAATTTGTCTGCCGCTACCCATTACACCCCCACCAAGCGCTTCGAGTATCTATCCTACCTATACTCATAATATGCATTTATTATCTTCTTCCCTTACGTCCATAACACAACCTCATTTACCTTGGGTGGCACTCGAGTCACAATCGTATAAAAAAAATTCAGTTCTTTAGCTGTCTTTATGGCACATTTTTGTCAGTTAAACTCACTCAGTAGACAGCAAAAAAATATGAAATAAAATGACATGTGAGCTTTCATTTATTTTCGATCTGTCGTCTCGCTGCTATGAATCACTGTTTTGATTAAATGTTTCAATAAAAAGCAATTAAAATGAACGTTAAATACGCGTCAAAATTAATAACAACAGTTAACGATGATTTATTTAGTAAAAACTAAAATAAATATAATGCAACTCTAAAAGACATTACTCATTTTTCACCTCTATCCGTAGAAATTCTTATTAGTGACTCAGACATTTGTTTTTTCCATGGAAAAATTCTCATGAACCCGAAAAACGATACAAAAATTAATGTAAAGAAACAGATCACCCGTCGCTCTTCAATATAAAACGTGAAATAAATGCAGTTATATCTTAAGAAAGTCGTTCCAATTAACCACATCGCCTGTTTTAATTTCACTCGAAGTAACCTATAAAAAAATGTATACAGTAAACCCTCGATTTAAAGACAATCAATTTAAGTATGGCTGGCCACTCGTATTCGAGTGTACCCGGCTAAAAGTGCGGCTAGACAGTCCCTATTGTAGACGCTTTCTCAGGCGCATTTGTGCGTGTTCAACACCCACAGAGCCCACCCGTGGTTTACACTGGAACTATGCTGAGCAGACCTTAGAGTTTCTGGGAGAGAGCGTGTTATCGAGTGTAATCAACAATTTGAACGAGGTCAGCACGCTAAAACCCTCGGTCACGTTGATATGTGACTTTATGCTAGCACAGCTATCGACGGCACCCCCAAGGGCTCCGTCTACTCAATTATACTCACAAAGTTTGATCAATTCGTGGTATAGTCTTCAGGCACCCTCCAAAGGTGCTACACGCTGGGATTGAGCCTATCCAGTCCGGTAACATCAGGAAATCTCCCACCGAACAAATGGCCAATGTTTTCAATAAAATAGCTTTCTGAAATACACTTTTATTGCTCTTTCCAGTATTGATGGAGGCTTCGATTCAAACATTTTCTTTGAAGTACAGGGTGCGATGGATAAGTTGTCGTATAAATTACGTAAAAATGAAAATAAAACATCACATTTTAAAAAATATATTTACTAAAATTACACAAAAATATCTTGAAATACTAAAGAGTAAATTTATTCAATAAAACATCTATTGGCCTCAACCACGCCCTCCATACGACTTCTGGACGGTCTCCTTGTTTAAGTTGGTGAATGCTGCCATAATCCTTGCCTTCAGTTCATCTTTGATG